CTCCTCCTTATTCCTGCAACTTTAAACCTCCTACGGCATTTCATCTTTTCAGTCATTTCTGAGATTTTTTTTTTCCCAATCTGCTTCAAAGATGCTGTTACAGCTTTTCAGGTATTGGTGCTTTTCAAGTCCTTCATGAGTTGGCACATAAATCTGGTTAAAAAAAATTCTAGGTTTAAATTGTAAATTATTGTATAATTTAATATCTTAAAGTATTCTCTTTTTAGAGTATAAAATAGTACCTTTATTGGTGAGGAGATGAATCTTCCACTCTTGTCAGCATTTAGGGCTCTTTTCTATAAATTCCTTAGTGCTCTGACTATGTCATAACTGACTGATGGCTAATTCTGCAAAACGGGAGGGCTTTTACTTTCTTTGTATGAAGAAGCCAAATGGAGCCAGTTTCCTTTACAAAACGGGAGGGCTTTTACTTTCTTTGTATGAAGAAGCCAAATGGAGCCAGTTTCCTTTACACTAAAATGTGCAAAATTATTTTGGTTTGTTTTCATTTTATGAAAAGCATATGAAAACTATGAAAAGTACTGTACAAGTTAATAATAACTTTGGGCTCTCTGTAGAGCAGAGCTCCAAAGAGTAGCACTGGTATAAACTCTCATCCTCTTTTCTTTGTAACACTTCACCAAGATGCTTTCTGGGGTAAGGTGTGGCCATTTCTTTGCATACTGGTTCTTCTAGACTTTAGTTGGGTTTTGTGTGTTTTCAGGAATATGTTTTTATTACCTAATACTGCTGGTTGGAGAAATTTGTCATCTGTCTTTTGTGAGATGTAGTTTTAATTTAGTTTTAATGTTCAAACTTCTATAGTCCTCCTTGTTCACTTCACAAACCTTAACTGCTTCCTCTATATAAGTCTGCCTTGAAGCATGAGGCTCACCAGCTTCATGCCCTGTTTCTATCAACAGCTTTTTTTGCTGTCCCAGCCCAAAAGTGTAACTGAGACATTCCTTTGGGAAAAGGTTAACTTGGATCCCTGCAGTCCCAGCAGTTCCTCTTATGTGAGAATCATGCATGTACTAGACAAGATGGTCTATAAGCAAGTCTACTAGAATTCTTCACGATTGCATCTCAAATCAGGAATGACGACTGTTCAGCTGATGTCAGAATCCCTTATTTCAGTTCCTGGATTTAAAGGTGGCAAAAATGTCTGCCAAGAAAGGTAACTGCCAACAAAAAAAGAAGATTGCCCCTCTTGGGAGATGGTGGTAAGAAAGTGGGCTGCTTTATTTTCTGATGTTTTCCTTTAGCATTTGTGATTTGGAAGATTTGTGTTTCTAATACATCAGGAATTGAAACCAGTCACCAGAAACTGAGATTGAAATGCCATCTCTTAGTGGAAGACTTAACAGTTGTTCAGTGTTCCCATTGTAAGGAATGGTTTCAAAATGCAAAGCCTGAGGGTTAAACCAAGCTCCTTTACCTCTTTTTACACATGCTCCAAGCATCTAAATCACTCAGCAAGAATGCCATTTTTCAAGTGTCTTATTTTCTTTCCACAGAATTTCAAAAGCCCTGTGGGAAGTGCCATCTATGGAGTATAATTGATATGGACACTCTTCTGAGACTATTTTTGTTGTTACGTTTCAAGATAAAGGCAATTGAGTATTTATAGGAAAAATAAATACATATGCCTTTTGCAATGTGTTGTAACTGAAAATTAAATATTTTTCTACTCAAATTTTGGCATATTTCCTGGAATCACTGAGCTTTCAGTAACGTTTTTAGTTAATATTCTGCAGCCTACTGTTGTATTCACTGCGGCTGACATGAGCTCAGAGAGTTTGTCTTTATTTAACCTCAGAGAGGAATCCCAGGCTTGCTCTGTAGTTGGCAGAGCTGTTGGGAAGGATCTGCTGTGGACTGCAGTGGAGAGAGTGAGGAGAGGGTCTGAACTGCGCCTGCTACAGCTTTTCTCCATTGGTGATATGAAAATTCTGAAGAATATGTGAAGTTAACCTTTATTAATAAAGCCTCTGATTAACATTTGCTTTCATTATCCATCCCTTTCCTTCTTTGTCTAATATTTTTATGAATCCTGTTACTTAGATCCTGCATCCCACTGCTCCTTGTGATGTTTGAAGTTGAAGGCACTGATTAGAGCATTATTTTTTTACCTGTAGAATATATATATATATATACATATATCTGTGTACAGGAGGTTAAAAAATATAAAAAGCCCCCATGAGAGTAAACATTCTGCATCAACTTTGCTCTCCAGAGACTTAAAATTGCAGTGGTGTGGTGATGAGAGGAAGATGCTTCACCTAAAAGTCAAAGCTTTTAAAGACTGATTGTCTGCTCCATTACACATTTTTTACACTGACCCACAGAGCTGCTTTGTCTCTTGTCAGCTAGTAATAAGTGAGAATGTAAATGGCCTGTGGCATTAGGACTGTGAAACAGACAGTAACAAACCATTCAGTTTGACTGGTGATCTTAATAGTTACTTGTTTAGAATAATTTCATGGATGAGGCCCAGCTAACTTAGTTCAAAGACAGTAATTACCCCTAGAAGTTAATATTTGCTATGTCAGCAGTTATTAGAAGTATTGGTGGTACCCTTACTGTTAGCAATATTTATGCCAGCAAATAAATGCTGTCCTTGTTTGTTGGTAAACATTGGCACTGAAATTGAATTAAATATTATTTGATTGATTTCTGTGGATTCAAGTCTAGAACTACCCTAATATTTGTTTTTCCCCAAATTAATGAATGAGGTTAAGGTCAACTTGATGAAGCAGATACTCCAGATTTATTATTTGAGTGTGTCCAAATTCTAGAAAACATGTAGCTTACCAAACTGAGCCTGGTTTCAGTTGCAGATTTTACTAATAGTGAAAGGAAATTTCTATTGTTAAAAAAGTCTGAAGGCCTCCCCTCATGCTTCCTTCTCTGAAAATGAAGAAATGGGATGCTGGTCTAAGATGGGAAGAATAATCAGCCTGAGTCACCATGCAGATCTGTAGAGGTTGATTTTCAGCCAGTATCTGCAAAATAAGCTGCAGGGTTCAGTTTGCAAACACTATTGTGAACCAAACCCTGCGGGGCTCAGTTTGCAAACACTATTGTGAACCAGACCCTGCAGGGTGTGCTGAGCTCCAGTTACTGCTCCTAGTAAGGCTTATTATCCTGTCATAGAAGATGTAAGAAAATCCATCTCTCCCTTTTAAACATGATAAACCTTTGTCACCTACAATGCAATTAATGTTAAAAATAGAAGAGTGCTGATGATAAGATTGTGACTTGTAGGCAATGAGCCATTGTCCAAGTAGAGGAGACTTATCTGGCGGGCCAGTCAGCCTACACGCTTTGCTGTCAGTTTGCTGATTGCCATTTCTCTCCGGGTTTGATGAAATATTCATGTCTTTGCTCGGCTCTCTGCAAGCACTATTGATTTCTTGTATAAACGCAGCTATATTTAGTCTAGACAAATGGAATGTGGATTGCTGCTGAATAAATGGGATGAAAGGCTGGGGGTTTGCCTGTCCGTTTCTCTTGGTCGGTGGCAATTATTTATAATCAAGAGTAGTTTTTGTAAGTTAAAGGTGATTTTTTATAATTTAGTGATTAGTCTCAGAACAAAAGTAAGCACTTAGACGCAATCATTCTGTTGGGATAGCGGGTTAAGAAGCTAAATTATGCTCTGAGGTTTACAATCACAGTTATTAAGATTTAAAAAAAAAAAAAGGGCCCAGAAGTTTTCAGAATATTGGGAATGAAAAAGTGTGATCAGTAGAAAAGATTTGGTGCCTTTTCTCTTATTTTTATTAAATCTTTTACTAATATATTTTATTAGATACTACGGATCATACAGTTAGAATTCAGTCCTCTCCATTTGCTGCAGTTTCAACTTTTACTGCTTCGGTTTTGCTGTCTCTGCTTACTAGAATATTTCTGTTTCATTTGTTTTTTCCCTTGGAAACAAATACAGCTGCAGCAGAGAAAAAGGAGAAAATATGCTTAAAATCTCGTTCCCCAGTCATTTCCGACAGCATGTTTGTTTTCAGTTAATAATCTTATTTTCCAATGAAGATAGTGGAGGAATGGGAACTGGAGTGGATGTGTTTGTGTTTCACTGTCCTCTTGTGGATGGAATCAGAACTGCTGGGCTTTAGCAGAGACCTTCAGCTACTATTTATTTTCCTCTTGTAGATATGCTGCTTGTTAGTCTTTTGTTCTTTTGAGACAGATAAAGTTACACTCACTCTCTTCACTTGATATGAAAACCAGAGCTTTACAAGTATTATAGTGAAAATTATCAAAACTCTCTGTTCTGTCTCCTTTTAGTCCCTTTGATTTAAATTATGAGATGGAAAATACAGAAAATAAATCGTCCATTAAGTACTTAATTGCTGGATTAAGAATTTGTAGCATTGCTACAACAAATTGAAATAATTCATTTTTTTACAAGCCATATATAGTATGCTATGCATGGTGGTTACTTTTCCAAAAGCTGTATTAAAAGTTCTCATTTTGTGTATCAGATTATTTCCCCACCTTATGTTATTCCTTTGTTTATGGCAGGTATATTTATATGCAGTAGCCATGTAGCACTGAGTGGGTTTTCATGTGTAACACTGTCCTCAGAAAATCTACACCCTAGCTTTGAAAAGTCTCTTGCAGTGCAATGGAACTGCAGGGCCTTAATCTTACGCTGAGGAAGTGCCCAGAGTGTTTATTGTGTAGCATCAATAGGGCCTAGGAGATTTTAACTAAATATTGCTCCATTGGTCTATGACATGGTTTAAGAGCTGGGTTGTGTGTTAACCTGTTTAGCAGAATATTAATCTGGGAGTATTTCTGCAGAGTATGGAAAGGAGGTGCTGAAGTTTGCATACAGCTTAGATTGCATTAAATGTTTTGAAAGGTCTGTACATTGAAACAGTCTTTGCGTGAAGCAGGTCTTTTTCCCATAGGAATGCTCCCTGTTCTCCTTCTCCTGTTTTATTTAATGTGTATGTTTTGCTGTTTTCTTCCCACAGTGGATGTGAAGTCGGAGGTTCCCGTGGGCCTGGAGCCTATCTCACCGTTAGACCTGCGGACGGATCTCAGGATGATGGTTCCCATGGTGGACCCGATTATGCGCGAAAAGCAGCTACAGCAAGAGCTGCTCCTGATCCAGCAGCAGCAGCAAATACAGAAACAACTGCTCATTGCAGAGTTCCAGAAGCAGCATGAAAACCTGACCCGCCAGCATCAGGCCCAGCTCCAGGAGCACATTAAGGTAGCAACATTTTTCATTTATCCTTTACTTTATCTGCAAAATGAATATGCTTAAGCAGACACGGAAAAGGGAACGTGCCTGAAAGGTTTGCTGTGACTGAGAGATGGTTTTTGAGTGCTCTTTTCTCTGTATTTGTATGATAAAGACCTTTCAAAGCAAAACTGCTGGCACCTATGAGTGACTTGCTCACAGCAGACCAAGGCAGTACTATGAGAATCATCAAGCTCATGAAGCCACCGCATCCACAAAAAATCGAGCTACCTATTTTGCAACCTGCATTTTCAGCTGAACTTCAATATGGCTTTTTTTTTTTTTTTTTTTTTACTGTTTTTAGTATATTAAAAGACTGCTTTTTTCAGCTACTGTTTGACTTTGTAACAAATCAAATTGATAGGCAAGTGTACAATATTTGCATTTGTAAAACGGAGGCAGGCCCTGATGATGTTGTGTTTTCACTCTTCTCTGAGCTGCCTCATATAGTACAAAAAGAAAATTATTTATGGGCTTGCATGCACTGTGGCAGGATTGCTATAATGGATTTTGACTGGGAATTTATGATCTTGCCTTTCCTTTCATTTTTCCTTCTTATCTACTTGCCATTGTGCTGCTGTGCTAAGCTTCCACTTGACGGAGCTGACAAATGCATCAGAGCACTGCAACCAGAGTTGGGTGATGCACAGGCAAGGAACAACGTGAAGTTTCCAAGCATCTTTGCCAAAAGAGAAAGAAGTGAAACCAGAGCAGCAGGCTGCTACCTGACACTAGATTTCAATTTGGTGACAGCCAGTAATGCACTGTGCTGCTTAAAAGTCAGTTAAGAGATGAAAAGAAGTGTAAGCATAAAAGCAAGCGCTGATCCTTGGTAACTTAAGGGAATTGTTTTAACCAGGACTGACCTAGAAAACACTACAAACTGCACTTTCTCATGTCTTTTTGTTCTGTGCAAGTTACAACAGGAACTCCTAGCCATTAAACAACAACAAGAACTCCTTGAAAAAGAGCAGAAACTGGAGCAGCAAAGACAGGAGCAGGAACTGGAGAGGCATCGCAGGGAGCAACAGCTTCCTCCCCTCCGAGGCAAAGAAAGAGGACGAGAAAGTAAGAGCCAATGTACCATGAATCCTAATAAGAAACAAGTCTATTCCCCTTTGCATTCTCCCAGCCAAAATGAACTATGAACAGGAACCTGAAGGAAGCCTGTTCCTGTGTGAAATACGCAGGTCGAGAAGTCAAGACTGTGCTTTGAGAAGGGCAGGGCCACCCACTGCACCCACAGAAACACATTTCTGGTTTGTGTGCAGACTTGGAAAACTGCAGGAAAGCACAGTTTGACAGACTTGTATATATGCATCTCAAGAGTCAAGCTCTTTGTATAAAAAAAATGAGGAAATTTGAAAGCATAAAGCCTCACATGAGAACTTTATGAAGAGCTTATTTCTCAATACAGAAAGCACTAGGAAACAGCAGAAAATTAAATTAGTTGCTGAGCATTGTTTCAAGACTGAAAATAAAATTAAATATTTAAGAATATCTTAGTATGAGCCTTCTAAATATTTTGCTAGGACTTTTTCAAACTGTCTTGTGTTTGTTCTTGATGACATTTCATGAGGCAAAACCAAGAGTTATTTCTAGCTCATATATAGCTATAAAGAACACAACTATGAAGGTTTGTTAAGATTTGATGCTCACTAGAGGGAGACAGATACAAATAATTCTCTTTAGTGAGGTCATTTTGAAAATCAGGTTGAAGTACAGTGTGAAGATACTCAAAATGAAGCTGCCACAAACAGGTACTGTTACTTGCCCTACTAAATGAGCACAAGAATTAACTGACAAAGACCGAAGCAGTAAAGAGCTTTTTTTTCCCCTGGGTGGAAAAAGATACCACTTCATCAGCTGTAGGTGTACCATGTCACAGCCTTTAGAAATTAAGGTGTTCATGGTGCTTCTAGTACTTTGAAGAACAATGATCCCATAAAGAAATTTCCATCTTACTGACCTAGAAATGTGAGGGTGTGGAAACTGCAGGAACAAAAGGTTCTTCTATGTAGCATAAAAAAATTCAGTCTCCATATGAACAGTTGGGCTTTATCGGTGTTCCTGCCAGAGGAAGAGCAGAGATGTGACCTCAATGGTTCCCTTCTCAATTTGAGCTTGCTGGGTGTCAGGGTTGGGTAACCAAAGAGTATCAAAAATACCTTAGAGCTGCAACTTTGAAAGAAATGGGGTTTCACGCCTTTTCCTTATCACTGGTTATGGAAAAGCAAAAGATTTTTTGTTTTCATACTTCTTTTTTCCTTAATGAACACTATTTTGGCTATGAGTAAAAAAGCATGTCCCATGCTGCAAGCTTGAATTGGCAGTTTAACCTTACAATGACATGCTCTACTTTTTGCTCTTTGTTGAGCTAGCCACCAAGAGAGGTCAAAATGCACTCTCTTGTCTGCCAGACATCGCAGGTAGAGGCCCTTAAGGGGCTCCAATTAAAAGCCTCACTGCTGGCTCTTTCTGCAGTGTTCTGCTTATAACCAAGACAGTGTTGAGAGGATACTTCTGCTGTGTTTCTGCTATTACTTTATTAAAAGAAAAAAACACTCATTACTAAAAACTCAAACTGACCTTTTGTAACTGTCTTTTTAGTTCCATTGTTGGTTTTGTATTTGGATTGTTGGGAACTATCAGGAAATAATTTAAATTCTTTAGATACATCTGGCCCTGGATAAATGGCCTCATCTACTGTTGAAATATTCCTTATGACTTCACTGGATTTTTCGGTCACAGCCAGCTTCAGGCTTCCACAGAGAAGCATTTAATCCAAATGCTATCTCATTTTGACTTTTTTCCACCAATAGTTTTTTTATAGTTTACAAAACTTCCAGCAATAAGGCACAGACTCTGTTTTGGAGTTTGTTTTATTTAAAACGGTAATTCTTCTTTTAAAGTAAAGCTAAGATGCATTTAACTCTTGTGTTTCTTAGGGGCAGTGGCCAGCACAGAAGTGAAGCAGAAACTTCAAGAGTTCCTGTTAAGTAAATCAGCTACAAAAGACTCTCCAGCAAATGGGAAGAATCATTCCATGAGCCGCCACCCCAAGCTCTGGTACACGTACGTTCACTATTAAGCTGCTTCCTTGTCTCGTTGAGGTATCAGCTGAAACTTGGCAGAATGCTTTTTCAGCAGGGGAGTTGAGAGTCTGCCTCCAGAGCAAGGCAGAAGTTCAACCCAAAGATTAGCGAAAAGCCAGAAGTGTTGTATTTCTGGTTGAACTGAGGAGTATTCAGTGTTCAGTGGTGAGATGAGAACTATGCAGAACAAGACTCCCTCAAAAATCTGTATAATTGGTTTTATTTCAGCTCCTTCATCTATAGTGATTATAGCTGTTGCTATCACAAGTTTTACAACTATACCTGTCATTTTTCCAAGTATCTTAAATTTTTGCAGTTATAACAACTGTGTTTGTCTTGGATTTTGAATCAATCACAAAACGTTTCCTCTTGAAGAGATGTTGCTTTGCTTCCAGTGAAGTTGCTTGAATGGTGCTGGTAATTCACAAGGGTTTTGAGAAAGACAGTGGTCATCTAACTTTTCTGACTCATGGCTTTTAGTATCCAAATTGCATATTCTTATGATAACTTGGCCTTGACAAGAATCTGCTTAGATCATGGAAGCACTTGATTTTGTTGAATCTTTCAAGCAGTCTATTGACATGTTAAGAGTTTACAGTTTTGTAGTTTTTATTCCCCACATAAATGAATCCAACAAAATGAATTCTGTCTGCACTTCTGAAAGATTTCAATGTCATGTCTGCATTGACCTTTAACAGGACAAACAGAAATGCATATGGTAAACTAGATTTCCATCTTTTACTTATTCTTTTTAAAAAGGATTGCTGAAGGTTGGCCCTTGGAGTTTGCGTTCTGAGCTAACCAGAGTTTTTGGTAAAATTATTTAATATATAGTTACATTGTGTTTGGTGGAGATACAGTAATAAATTCATTTTTTTCTTCCAAGTAATGTGTAAAAAGTCTCTTGAATATGTAAGATTTCTGGGCTAATAATCTGAGCTTCAGATGACTGAGTATGAGTAGCTCTACAGAGGATGCCTTCTACTACACTACAAAAAGTAGAACTTCCTCTCATGACAGAGACATATTATTGATTAACCGCACTGTGTTGGAAAGACAAGCAGAGTCTGTAAAAGGCCAAGTAAAATTATGTTTAGATAAACACAAAGTTTGAAAGTTTTTCTCCTTTCCCTCTCTAGTTAGAAATATCAAGCAAACTCCCCCCATTCAAAAAATCAGAAAAACAACCCCTGTTTCTGAGCCAAGTGATGCAATTTCTATGTGGTTGTTCAGAAAGCTCTGCACACAATATTTCTTTCATCCAGCAGCTGTCAGAAAACACTCTTCCAGCTTGGAGCTTCTCTGCTGTCATGAGCGCTATGTGCTGCAGGGTGGTATGCTCTCAAAATTTACAAATTGAACTTAAAGTCAAGGTTTCATTTACCTCATCCACTAAATAATTCAGTGGAGTGGGGTTTCCAAGAGATAAAAATTCAATACTTCTGGTTATTTTATACAAGCTCTCGTGCCCTGAAAATCCCCCACATTTTAATAAGGAAGGCTTGATCAATATACATCTATTCGTACGTGATAAACAAGCCTTAAACAGCTTTTGCTGTGTGTCAGCTGATTCATATTAAAAAGCAACCACCTGAAATGGTCAGTTCCCCAAGCTAGTGGTAGACCCTGCCTGTAGATCAACATGAATCTTATCCTATGAGACTTCTGTAATGAGTGCAAAAAATGTGTTTTTGGGAATCCCAAGGAGTTCCATAACTTACTGTAAGAGTGAAATTGGTTACATGAGCCTGTGGTTTGCGCACACTTGGACGAACAAGAACATAAACACAGCTGAGACGTGTACAACATGTGTGGATAGTTACTGCTGGTCACCTCAGTGACAGCTAATTTGTGACCTCTGTGTGTGCTGCAGGGCTGCCCACCATACCTCACTGGATCAAAGCTCTCCACCCCTGAGTGGGGCCTCGCCACCATACAAATACACTTTACCAGGAGCACAGGATGCTAAGGATGATTTTCCACTTCGTAAAACGGGTGAGTTAGCGTCATTTATTCGAGCCCCTTGCCCAGAAATCCTCCCATCCTTTATTTTGACCAGGCTGTCCACCAACAAGGCATATATCACACTCCAAAAATCCTGTTCAAGGTGATACTATGAGTGAGTTCAAAGGTCTAGACTGCATATTTCCAAGGTCAGCCTGGCCACATGGTACTGAGAGTCGGTGTTTCTCAGTGCTGACAGCTGGTGTAGGCTTCAGTTCTGATAAATTTTGTTTCTAAACAGATCATCATTTCATGGATCTTTATTTTCTCTGCCTTTCTTCTGGTTTTAATAACTCTCTCTGCCCTGCTTGGTAGATACAGTATCTATCTTCAGATGGTATTCTGCTTTTAGACAATGTTTTTCAGGGCATTTTGAGAGGAAATCATGGAAAGAGGAGGAATTGGATGAGTATTAAATTTTGTGTCATTGATTGTCAGAGTTTGTGTGCCTATCACAGACTGGCAGAATATTCTGAGGTGGAAGAGACCCAGAAGGATTGTGGAGTCCAACACTTAAGTGAATGGCCCATACAGGGATGGAACCCGTGACCTTGGCGTTACCAGCACTGTGCTGTGTCCCTATACACACATCTGCATGTCTTCTGACACATAGAAAATGTTCTTTTGATGGTTTTAGAATATTTTGGAAGATCTAACAATTGAATATTTTATCTTGACAGCAGGTGAACTGTAGACTTAGCTTTTTCTGCACCACAAAGAAAGCTAGAATGGTGGTGGAGTCCATGTGGCTGTTGCCTCAGGACCTTGGTGCAGTGACTGGTATCCAGGAATGCAGGGAGACACTCAGAGGAGGGGGGGAAAAGGAAAAGAAAACATTGGATCGCTTATTGCATGAGTCTGCTGTTGAGTGATATAGTTACGTTCAGAGAGAAAGTCTGACCCCCTACCGTGCTAACAGCCTTTGAATGTGATTTAGCCACTGGGAGATTGAAAACTAACTGCAAAACTGATTTAAAAAGAACTGGCATTTGGAACCAGCATACATTCAGAGAGAAAATCCAGCCTATATCTAATACTTTGGGGCAGACTCTCTAAGCTCATATTATATCCCCAAATACTTTCAAAGGAATGGAAGCATGAAAAGCAGAATGCTAATTTATTCTAGCTGAATTACTTTTTGTGCTATATGGTAGCAATATAACAAGATTCTATAAAATCTTGTTCGGGCTGTTCATCACAATAAACCCTTATGTGGTTCTCTGCTTAATACCACTGGATAGCATATATTTTCTATGCCAATATACTATACATTTTCATTTTGTAGAACAAAATTCTACGTCTTCTAAATGCTGTGAATTCATCTACATGTATTTGAAATGCAAGCTTCAATTTTTCTTCCATGTTTATGTATCTTAAACATTATGATTGATATTTATGATGTGTCAGACTGTTGATCTGTAAAACAAAACATTTTCAAACTTTGTAACAGTAAAGTTCTCGTGCAGCTGCTAATACTTTTATATCTCTGTGGGGGTTTCAAAATATTCCTTAATTCAATTCCCATTGTCTGCATAAGAGGACTATAATATAATTAAATCCAGATGTTTTCTATATGCTATTCCAAATATTTGGGCATGCAGTGCATCAGTTCCAAAATTGAACAAAGGACATGATGACTCTCTGAAAAGATATCTACAGAACAAATAGACAAATACTAATATAATCATTAGTACAATCATTTCTATGACATTGACATAGTGATTCTGATAAGCAAATATAAATGAAGTGTACAGCATGTTGTATGTTACCAACAGGGGATATTTGGTATCTCTCCATATCCGTGAAAATAGCAACTGTTAATATCCTGTTTACACATTCAGTCTCTCTGTGTACTAGAGATGTTTAATTCCAGTCTTCAGCAACATCCCCACAAAGCTTTCAATGATTGTTCATCAGGTTGAGTGTAAAAGCAACAGGAACCAAGTCGACACAAGTCAAATGACCCTAAACTGATCTGGGTGGCTGTAGGGCCATCCTCCAGGCAGAGGGGACATTGTGGAGCCTGTGTCATCCTCACGGGACCTTACCAGACAAAGATGTCCCACGAACACTCATGTATATGGACAGGCTGTAAGCCTGCAGAAATCTGACCTTTGCCATGAGGGGTGAACCTCTTTTCCTTCCCTTTAGGCCATGAACGCTTATTGCCACTGGCTCCTGGCAAACCCTCTGTGGTGCTGAACCTGCGTGAAGTCAGCAATTCATATGAAAGCAGACCTCACATTCCTTTCATTTCCTTAAGAAAGAAATACCTGTTGTGACTTTTAATTGCAGCTTTGTTTTGCTTTTTAGGTTACTTTTTTTAAAAAAAATCTTCGTAATATAAGATACAGAGGTATCTTTCTCTTCTCCAACGTTGATAAAACGCTCTCATAAGATAATTCTGATTGAATCAGGTACTCTGAGATCAGATTTAATGGGAAACAAAGCTGAATGATTCTTCCCTGACATCCTAATGTGTTTTTCAGGGCTGGGGGAACATCAAGTGTCACACAGGCATTGTAAATCATGGGTTTTGCTTGCTTACTTTCTTGTTCAGTAATCCATTTAATCTTTGCTTAATTAGTTCTGAAGTGGCATCTCCTTTTTAATCTTCTAAAAATTAATTCCAAAAGAATGGAAAATATTTTCTGCAGGTTTTACTCTTCTAGTATCTAGAATGATGGAATGCTTAAATAACTAGGAAAAGACTTCAAAGTCTTGCACTGTCAGTGTTTACAGTTAGGTACCCGAGTTAACATCCTAGTGCAGTGACGGTGGTTACTCAACAAGTCTCAGCCATGTGGGTTGTTCCTTTCTGTACAAGATGCAGCAGAAGTTGTCAGCAGTGGACTTCAGAAAGTTTAGCTGCATGGAGGATTGGGACTGTCCTAAGGGCTAGAGGCCAGGATATGCAACTCTTTGCACAGCTGCATTCAGATGCTTGGTGTTGACAGACTTTGAAAAGAGCAGAGCAAGGGGTGCTATTGCTTCACTGGATAGATAAATACACCATAAGGAGAAGCTACACATCTGTAGCTACAAGCAGAATTTAGTATAAACAGCATAAGATTAAATTTTAAAAATCCCCAAAACTTGCACCATGGATACAGTGTTTTCTTCAATGCACCCAAAAGCATGAGCAGCACATGGCTCATTAACTTTCAATGAGACTAATGTGTCTAAATTACTAGAGAGGTTTGAAAATACCTCCCTATTACTGAACACTTTGGAAATTCATACTGACTGTTTTAAGAGCTCTGATGGGAGCCATGTACATTTGAAAATCTGATCATTTAATATGGGGAACTTTTGCTTGTTGAGTTCCTCTATTCTGTGACTATCTGTCCAGGAAAATATTCTCCTCTTTATGAGGTTACTGTAAAACTAACAAAACCACACTAAACAACATGGGTTTGGCAGGGTAGAAAATCTTTTCAAATATTTTTTTTTCTTTTATCTTTTCAAAATGCAGAAATTCTAGGAAATGGCCCTAACAATTGCATTTTCTCCACATTTAAAATTTTTTTTTTTATATGCAAGTGTTGATACAAACCAGCAAAAGCCAGCAAGAATTAGCTCTCTGGCCAAAGCTGCATACTTTTTAAAAATGTTGCTGTAGGTGGAATTTCTGCATTTTGTTACATATTTTGGTTTTTTGGGGAAGAAGTTCCTGGGGACATCATCATATCAAATAGGAACTGGTTTTTTCTCTCCTGAGTTTAGCACAATCATGGAAGAATGGGAATGTCAATCAGTATTTCTATTTATTTTGGTTTTGTGCCAGTTGAATCTTTCTTTGCAGATGGAGTTGTACGCTTATGACTTGCATTGTGCTTAGGGATCTGAAGATCTCTCACAATATAACAATTTGAGAAGATGTTTGTAGCTCACCTTCCAAAAATTGGAAGCATACTCAATGGAAACATAGCACGGGGCTTTTTTTTAATAGCAAATAGTATTTGCTAATAAAAATTGCAAACTTTCTTGGATGGGAGAAGTTGTGTAATTTCACACAGGAAAAAAGAGGAGATGAAGGATTGTTTAATATTGTGATGAAAGAGAGGAAGAAGGCTGTCTCACACAGCCATGAAGATCACTCTATAAAAACCATATTAAGTTAACCTGATTAGGCAATAGAATAACAGTGTAGGCCTTGTGTAAATGAGAATGAAAGATTCCTGAATGAGAACATAGCAGATGTAATTTTTTAAGAAAAGAAAATTAATTAGAATATTTCCTTACAATTCTTTGTGCACTTAGTGAATCAGTAATTTACTGGAGCAGTTGAAAATCAGAACAAAAATATCAGTGTGTGAAGGTTTTTCTCCTTTCCTCTTCTGTGCCACCAAATTTTATTTCTGTTTGCATTTTCTAGGAAAACAATCTTTTGTGATGTAACTGTATATGAAAAAGCTGGATTTCCTTTGGTTTTCATTTAAAAAAAAAGGCTTAGAGTATCTCAAACCCTCAATTACCATGTCTGCCAAAATGAAGAAGTTCAGCTCAGTGGAGAGAAGTGCTATTTTTCTCTGAATTTATGAGCAAGCACAATAAATGGGAGAGGCACTTTGTTTATTGAAGCAAGGAAAGGAGGCAAACATATGATTCTCCTAATTTTATCCCATTTTCCAGGGATGCTAAGCATTTCTGCCTCTCCAGAGTCCTTGTTTTCCTGGGTTGGTGAGCCATCTTGACAAATTTGGACTAGGTAATGTGCCTAGAAGTCAGTACTTACCAATCACAGAGAGAAGGAGAAGGTACCCTGACCTTGACTCTTCTTCCCGTTAATCACCAAACGTTTTCAGCCTTCCCAAATTCAGTATCAATAACTTCAGAGCATGTAATTAGCCATAGGAAGTTTTAGAAAGAGAAAAGCTTCCATGTGCAATTGCAGAGTTGTGGAGTGGAGGCAAAGCTTCTGGATTCATGTCATGAACAAGCCAAACCAGTGTCCAGGCCCTGGGAGCCAGCAGCTCCAAGGAAATGTG